GGAAACGGAAGCCTAAACCGAACGAAGCCCCCTTCGAGAATTCTGGACTCCAAAATTCTTGAGAAGGGGAGCTTCTCCAAAGGGTTTCAAGGGGATTCTCAAGGGGGGCTTAAGAAGGGGGGTCTCCTAATTCTCGAAGGGGGCTTCAAGCCCCTTCTCAAGCCCCTTAAGAAGGGAGCTAGGGGGGACTTTCAAGGGGGCTTGAGAAGAGGCTTGAAGCCGTTTTGTTTCAAACGTTTTTAAACCCTCTTGTCGCGCTTTCATGTGATTTCTGCTTGTTGTGAAGAAGACGTTTTTTCTGTTCTTATTGTTTGTTGCGTGTCCTTCTGTGCAAGCCTTCTCAAGCCCCCCTTCAAGCCCCCTCACCGTGATGTGGCCTGGCCGTCGGACAACGAGCAACCCGCAAGCTTCGTTTCTGCGTTGTCGTGCACACCAAAGTCCACGGCAACAGCATTTTGCTTTAAAGTCTGTCACAATTTTTTCGATGCATCGATGCTGGTTTCAAGAATTCAGCAGCAAAGTCCAACGCCGGCCTGCTCTTTTGTCAGGAAACATTGGCACGAGGTGGACAGGGAGCCGATGAATGTAAAGTTACCTGTTCAAGCGAAGATGCTGCAAGGCTTTGAAGGTGGCCGCAGAAGAAACCGCCCCGTAAAAGTGAGGACAAGGACTGGAGACTGAAAACCCAATCCATGCGCCCCCTCTTCAAAAATTCAGATGGAGCACACCTGCTGGAGTCGACATGTAAGAATTTGTTTAGATTTCAACAAATGGGATAAGACCGCAGGCAGGTGCGCAAGACTGACGTGCCGAAAGAAACGAGTAACGGGCCAAAGACTTTTCTTGGAGCTCCACTGCATTTTTGGGGTGGCGGCAGGGAGGCTTTGTAGTGTAGCGTTTCTGGACAGACTAACTTTGTGAAGATTGTGAACCTGCAGTCTGTAACGGGCTCTTGTTAAACCGCTGTTTTGTTTGTTTGTTTTATGGTTTAGATTGGAACCGAGCTTAGCTGCTGTCTACAAGGCCCACACCCGCAAAAAAATTGGTTGATAGGCGATGCAGATGACGTGACTAAGAAGCCAGGTGGAAGTGATCATAGCCACTGCTTCCTGTTATGTTGGCGTTTTGGAGCCATTGGTGTGTGATGTTGACGCTTGGTCCACTTGGTCCACTTGCTTCACTTGTTAACGCAGGGTGCACGAAGATCGAGATTACAACATGATTTTGGAGAAGTTGGAGAACTGGGAAAGTTTTGGTTTCACCATCGCAAAGAACGAACGCAACAAGTTCCGAGCTCAATGTTGAAATGCCACAACATGGAAGTTTTTTTGTGTTCGAGCATTGAGGGTGTGACAACGCAAAGCACCAGAAGCGTTTGTTGTTGTCATGGTGGTTGGAATTCGTGAAGCCGTCCAGCAAACTTTGCACCACCAGGAGCATTAAAGATTTGTGGATATCAACTGATAGAAGCACACACACACATATTCTATGTCCGGGTAATAACAGTTCGAGCTTCGGATTTTTCACCCGAGCATGTCGGTTCAAGCGTTAGCGGCACATGTTCGACATCAGTATGAGTACGATGTTGTATCCTATGCAAGAACACGAACAAGCTGTCGCAAAAGAAACTTCACAGCTTCATTCGGGGTACGATGTACAAAGTTAATATGCAGTGTCGTTGGTATCGATAGGCGTCCGAGCATGGCATTTGCCCGCATTCGCTTGCAGTGGTAGCAGCAGCTTCACACTTAGAGAGCAGAGGGTGTCTTGCAAACACAGCATGTTGTCGTGAAGGGGGATGAGGTGCGTTGGGTGAAGGAATCGGATTCAGCTGCAGTGTCTATCGCGGATGTGGCGGCAAAGTATCGGCGTCCGCTGTTGAGGGTTCGCGTGTTGTTGCTGCAAGGCCATCGTTCATGAGCAGCTGATGCTCCTTGCTTGCAAGAACGGTTCACAGAAACGAGCGTGCACGAACCCTTGGAATGCCGAGGCAAGCTGGCTTCCTCAATCGGCCGTCAGCACCAGTGGCACGACGGCAGAGGGAGAATGCACAGCAACCGACACAGAACCTCGCGAAGTTGGACCAGGCCGTTACAATGTGATGTGTACAAGTGGTTCTGCTTGGAGCAGCCAAGCTGAAGTTTCAGGCCTTTTCATGGGGTCCAAGCAAAGATGTGCTGCGCGAGCACAACTCGAACGATGATGCAGGTCGTAGCCTTGATTATCTTCTTCTGGATTCTGGCCACGGCCAACATGGTGACCTGCTCGCATTGGAAGAGGTGCCGTATCCTTTCTGCGCAACGACGCCGGCAAGTTCGGTCCACAGTGTGCTTTAACATGTGTGCTTTAGCATTCCCTTCTGTCAACCACCTTCAATGTGGTGCCACATCCACACTGGGATCATGCAAGTGACGTTTGGCTGACATGTTCAGGCCCACAGCGCGTTTCGATGTTGGCGACATTTGCGAAGTCGTCGGTGGTGCGCCGGCCACTCATGTTTTAGCCAGAGGTCGAGACAGGAAACTACACGGCATGAGCACTGCGGAATCAAGGTTAGTCCGTGCTTCGGAAGAGCTTGACAGTGACAAGATTGGTCAGCTTGTGGATGGGCCACTGGCTTAGAACGGAGAATGGTTTATCGAGTTGATCGAGTCGGCATGCTGCATGTGTCTGCGCTATATGTGCTATGTCATCATGTGAGGTGCCGAGCAGAAGTCGTGGAAGTAGGCGGGATCTTAAGTTTCAACCTACATGCAGCGATGCGTCAGCATTTGGCGGAGAAGGTTCAGGGCCTACTGGCAAGCGGATCGCGATCGAAGACACAGACGGCCTGAGAGGATGGGTCCGAGCCTCACATCTTCACATCTTGAGCAGTTGTGGTGGCGAGTATTGCCTGTGCTCGAAGCGAAGGTGAGTGTGGTGGCCACCACAGGCGAAACTCTCATTCGAATCGTCGAGAAGGACGTTGGATGCAAGGGGCAACGGTGCATCTCCTACATCCTTTAAAGACATCCCGGAGGAGCTGCGAGGCGAAGCTCGGGCAAAGAGGTCACCTCCATGATAATATGGGGTTTTGTTTAGCAGGTTTGGGCAAGGCAGCTGGGGGCGGTCAAGCAAAGCATGAGGCGTAGGAACACGTGCCAGCAGGATTGAAGCCGCTGCGAAAGCAGCACGGCACGACTGCAGCAAACCCACAGCGCGCTTTGCTGCATCCTTGGCCCGAGCTACTTGGCTGACCTAGAGCCTTTGGCATTGTGGTGCAAGGATGTTGGAGACGTTTGTGACGTCGTCGGAGGAGCGCCCTGATCCGAGCTGGCGAAGCAATTGAAGGAACTTACCCATGCTGTGAATGCTCGGATTCCTTGACGTGGCAGCATGGCTAAGGATCATGCGAGAGAGCGAGGATCTGGATAGCCGGCAGCTGGGGAAGCTGCAGAACAGAAGCCAAGTCAAGGCACGGCGAACCTCATGTCGCATACCGGTGAGGGCGTGCCTGTTGAAGGTTGTGGAGATTGGTACCGGACCAACAGGCAAACGTCTGCTGGTGACCGATGACACAGGCCACGTCTCCATTCCAGCTTTCCGGACTTCGCTAGGAACTGTTATCCACGGTGCGTGAGTTTTGTCAGGGTCTTTACGAAAATGTGAGGTCGTGCAGGTTGGATAAGCGTGGTCTCTTCTGATGGTCCGATGCTGAAACGTGTGTGTGTGCTTCCGGATCCATCACCACCCAGCAACTGCAGACTGCAGGTACTCAACTCTTGCGCCCTGTGAAGACGTTCAGCACTTTGTGAAGTGTCCGAGACAACTTGTCCGATGTCCTGACAAGAGCCTCTCTTTCCCACTTCCAGAGCAACGAGCTGCTATGTAAGCTGCTACTTGAGTGCTTGCCTTCGAGTGTGCCAAGGCCGGAACTACCATTGCCCGAGACTCCACAGGAGAGTCCAGACATATTGGCTGCAAGCAGTACTTTGCAGTCCTGGTGGAGGAGATGCAGCTCAGCAAGCAGGTGACGCACGCGGTCGCCCCCCAAGTTCGCAAGGCAAGCTGGAGAGGTTCGATGTAAACCGGTCAGAGACTTGTGGACTGCAGTGTCCTCTCAAGGAGGTGCTCTCACAAGTGCTGGCCCCCGTCGTGGAACCCGCAGTCCTGGTCAGAAGCTTGACATTGCGACGTGATAGGAGCTAGCGGAATGCGGCAATGGCGTACAGGTCAGTTCCTCTCGAGCTCAGCGTGGTTTCGATTTGGTCCGGATCCCGATTCTTTCCCTGGCTTGGCATCCTCCAGGGGGCGTTTCGACCTGCTAGGAAATTTCTTACTTGGAGAGGGAACACATGGAGCAGCTCTTGGCGGACAAGTTTGCAACCGAGGGTGTTCAGGCAGGACGCTTAGAGAGTATGAGAGTATGCCTCTCCCTGTTTCGCTATCTTCCACTTGACTAACAGCTTGTGAGGAGCCAAGCTACGACCATGTCAAGCTCCGCGACGCAAAGGGAAAATGGTACAGGCTCGGACGTCCTGAGGTCTATGAGCCAGAAAAGTGGCACATTCTCAGCGGCAAGGCCTGGCGAAGCACCGGAAGTGCCGACGCCCGACTTGTTTCCGATCACACTCTACTACCGGCCGGCCACCGAGCGAAGTTTGCCAGTCTCGCGAGTTACGCCGCGGCCCTTGCGATATCTTCTGAGTCCTCCGAAGCCTGAGCAATCTGCTGAAATGGTGTCGGGCTTGGGCTTGGGCTCGCGGGCTTGTTGTCCGCAGCGAACACGAAGCCTCACAGGTCCTTGCCTTGCGCCAGCGAAAGGCATACGAGGCACGTGGGGTGCATCGTGGTTTCTCGGTGACAGTCGAATATCGGTGCTTCCTGTGCCTCCCCCAGGCCTTGACACCAACTCAACGCCGTGGTCTCTCAGAAGTGCAGCGCGGCCCTCGTGGAGTTGCATAGTCCCGGATTGCTTGGAGAAGCTGCAGGCGCCAACTGGAGCGTGCCTACTCTTCAGAGAGCAACGACTTACTGGACCGGTGGTTTAAATTGTTGTGCAAGGTCGGTGTATTTCTGTTTGTTGACCATGCGGGGCACTGCTGGGTGCCTGGTGAGGACCGAGCCATGCGCCTCGCACATTCCCTCGGCTTACCACTCGGGACTGCTGCGGCTGCTCCGCCCCGTGGCTGCTCCGCCGTCCGGCGCTCCTTGCGCACACATGTACAAAATTTGTGCACAGGACTGCTGGGCTGCCTGTCTCCTTGATGCCAGAGTCCGTTTGCTTCCCGAAAGGCCGCCAAAACGCAACAGGGTAGTGCACTGAAATCAGCGAGACCACGAAGTCCGAGCAAGAATCGTTCTCGCAGGCAACGAGCCCTTGCTTTACGACGGGCATCTTTACTCGATGCAGTCAACATCTATGCTGGTCTTCGATCCTCCAGACTTCAGCGTGCCAATTCCTCAGCCGCCGGGGTTCCTGGCACCACTTGCAGCTCTTTCTTGATTGCATGCGCTAGGCCCATGGGAATTTGGAATGCACAGCGTTTGGGGCCTCAGAGGGCGTGTGACGCAAATTCATCTTGTCTTACGACCACATTCCAGGCCAGCGCGTGGATCCCGCCGTCATGCAGTCTGGGCCTCTTTGAAAGAGCCTTTTTGCTTGCTTGAACGGCACCTTCCCATGGCGCACGCCCACTAGTTGTATTGTCTCACCTTGTTGCTTGGGTGGCCGTGGCCGGATCCTGTTCTGGGATTTAGCACTCGGAGGATTTTGTTCTGTTCGACGAATTCTTCTTACAAAGCTCCGCTGATGGATTTGTGCAGCGGCTCTGCGAAGCAGGGTCGGGCCAGGGTCGTGGATGTCCCAGTGTTTCGGCTATCCTAGGAGTCTTCAACGGAGCGAGGGGACAGTTTCCCCGCAAAGGAATGATGATGCTGGACGCACTGACATCATCCACTTCGGCAAGTGCGCGTGTCAGACTAGACATGATAAAAATAAGCCTAGAGTTTGAAGTCTGTTTCAGAATCATTACTACTGAGCAGGACCTTTCACATGCTGGAACAGGGGCATGTGATCGATCCCGATTCTCAGCAGGCTGGTCAAATCTCCCGTTTTTGCTCGCAAGTGTCGCGAGCAAAGTAAATTTAGAAAGCCGCTTTCAGAGTCATGCTTGGAAGGTGGTTGGGATGATACGGCCCATGACCGGTGACTTCGAGTTCTTTGATCCCATTCCTCTTCCTGCCGGGAACCTGGGTCAACACGGAACTGGGCGTGTAGCAGTGCAGTGTAGCGCTGCAATGCGAGGTGGCTGACTTCATGATGAGGCGTGGCTTTCGGCTCGAGGCTCCTTCCGCGAGGCTCACCAACGGTCCTTTCGTGTCGCTAAGCTGCAAGATGCTGCAAGCCACAACGCGGTCAGCGCAGTAACTCAGTAGCAGACTGGCAGCCGAGGCAAATCCTGCCCCAGGCCTGCATCTTGGGAAGTCCTGCTCTCCCGTGCAGTGCAGCTTTCGCTTCGTTGATGCGCGTACAGAAAGGTGGAAGATGACGATGGAATCCCAGTGTGTGCCCCAAGTGATGCACCTTAAACGGCTTGTGCAAGCCAAGACTCGGCAGATCAGCAACTTTCTTCACATTTTGGCTGAGGAACTTCACTTGCAGATGCAGGCTGCTGGCAATGCAAAAGCGTCTTCTTGGCATGTTTGCGCAGTCCTGGCCGTAGAAGTGTGCGACTGTATAACTTGATGAGCGCAGGTTGAAGTATGCCCCAATTGAACAGCGTGGCAACAAAGACGTGATGATCCAAGCAATGCGCCAGGCCGGGATGCTGCATTGTTAAGTCGTGCTTTTGCTGACAAGTCTCTACCAACTTCGAAGTGCAGGGACAGGGCCCACAGAGTTGGAAGATCATGCTCTGTGGAACACAAGAGCTCAGATCTCAGAAAGTTTTTCGCAGATGCTTTCGAGTATGCCTCGCCTCCTTATGAAGACGATGAGGATCCTAGAAGACCGGGATGTTCTTTCCGAAGCAGTGAAGCAGGACAACTTTACAGTCTGACGGTTGCTTGATGGCACTCGTTTCTTCCTCGTGGGAGGACTACTCTGTCGTGGTCTTGGAAGTAATTTAAACTCGGCATGAGCTCGTAGAGACTGACGATATCAGCAAAATGAAGGCTATGGCCTACGCGTCCAACTACTACAGTGACCGGAACTTCATGCTGCAGGTGGGTTCACCACAGGGAAAGAACCCAGAACACTCTTTTGCTAGCGTGTGTGTTGAAACTGGTGCCCGCGACGTGTTTGGTGGGCAGGCGGTGCAGCAGCATGGAGTGGCTTTACAATATGGCAGTGAGGAGATCCGTCATTGCCCCAGTCACTGAACAGTTGTCACGTCGAGGACGTGTCCGATTCACATCGATCGCCCATCCCTTGCAGGTGCAGATCCAGACCTTGCATACATGGCTGTTGGAGCCTTGCCCAACTCATACTAGGGCTAGGGTCTTTGCCCGTGCCTTGTCCCTGAAAGAGGTCAAGGCAAGCTGGCGGGCACTGGAAAACGTTTCGGAGAAGCTCCGCGGGTCGTCGCGCATCGACTTGACCTCAGCTTCAGTTGCCGGCCGTGCGGCCGTCATCTCAGCCGTCCAGTTTAGGTCCGAGAGGCCGTGAAGCAGTGCTGGCAAGCCTTGGAGTACGCTTCAGAGGCGCGGCAGCGGGTCCCCTGGCGTTAGGGAGGCCCTGGCCCTCGGCTGTCGCTCGGCTGAGGAGCTCCAGGATGACAAGGACGTGGTCAGCTCCGGCCTCGCCGGCCTCGGCGCACGTTTTCTGCGGTTTGCCCCGTATGTTTGGGTCACCGAGACTTGGCCGTAAAGCAAACCTGGCGTGCGCTCCAGTTTGCCGTCAGAGTCTCAACGCCTGGCACGGTACATGGCATTGCTGTTCGCGGTTGCCGACAGTCCTGCAGCCCAGTCTGGTCGTCTGCGCGGCGATGCGGCCTTTATGTTGAAAGCAGTGGCCCAAAGTGTCGCCGCTCGGCTGTGGTCCTAAAGAGCCGGAAGGAAGCTGGACTACTGTAGTTTTGCAGGTCGCTTTCATTGCATATCGGATCAGGACGCACTGCATTTTGCAAACGATCTGCTTCTCGGCGATGCCGACTTCATGAAGCAGGCAAACTAACGTCTTTCCGCTGAGCTGTGCCATTCCAAGTGGTGGCTCTCCTTTGAGTCGGCAAAGGGAATCTCCGGTATTTCGACCGCAGGCTGTGCAGCTTGACGGCATGGCTCTTCGCTTTGCTGCACAACTCCAAGTGTGCTTGTGCCCTATCCGACACAGTCATCATCATGGTGGCTGCTCTCAGGCAGAAGATGTTGTCGACCGGGATTTGGTTCTGCAGGTGGGCAAGATACGATTCTTGATCAGAGGGTTTGGTCGTACGTCCAGGCTGTGAGGACAAATTGGCATGCACTTCAGCATGCCCCTGATGTGCTACGTGCAGACAGGGCAGTGGTTCTGGAGGCTCTGAGGACAGCAGCTTCAACCTTTGGGAAGCACAGCCGATGTCCCACAGGCCGTCCGGCAGCATCATTCTGCGTTGAAGCTGGCATCTCCCGATGCGCTACTGGATGAGGTTTTTCAAAAACATGCTCTTTTTGAGAAGGTGGTTTCATGTGCCTCGTTTCCTTTCAGGAGCTGATCTTTGAGGCAGCCAGGCGGCGACCAGACTTGCTGCGCGGGGGTCTCGCAGGTTCATGTGATCAGGCTGGTGATGGAGGGCATTGAAGGGGAGAGTCCAGAAATCGCAGAGGCAGCTTGCCAGATGAGCCTCGATCCAGCAGAGGCAGACGGCATAAGATTTCCGAGCAAGTTGCTGCTTGCCATGCCTATGTGAGGTCTCATGATGCGAATGGTCAAGTTGCACCCGATGTCGCTTCAATATGCTGCAGACAGAACCCGTGCCATCCCGAGTGTAGCATCGAGCATCGCAACCCGAAACTTCTCTCGGCTGCTTTGCTCGTGGCGAGGCCGCGATGAGGAAATAGTCCTGGAGGCTTGGGGTGCTGAGGATTTTAGGAGTGGTCTCGGGGTGTCGTGCACAGTGACACCGGGTTGTTTCAAAGGCTTTGCGGCGGAACTGGAGAAGCTTTCAATTTGCTGCGTCGGAGCTGAAGTCATCGTTTGGAGCTTGGCTCGTGAAGTTGGAGATGACTTAGCAGCCTAGCATCGGGAGAGACCTCTTCGTGCCTACATGAGGTTGCGATAACCGATAGCGCATCGATTATGCAACCCATGCTCCTCACACCATCACATTGTGCCGGCATTGCTGTCCCGCCGCAGGAGTTCGCTGGCTTTTCTTAGAAGTTTGCAGAAAAAAACTCATGTTCGCACGTGATGTGCTCTACCCCTATCGTTGCTGGCCACTACTGGCACCTGCTACCACTACACCACTGCACCGCTGCACCACACCACCACTCCGCCACTCCACGACTCCACCACTGCACCACTGGAGCACGCCACCACACCACCGGAGCACTATATACCACTGCACTGTTCCTACAACTACAGTCAACCACTACACTGTTACTACACCGTTACAGCACTACGCCACAACTCCACCACCACGCACTATACACCGCTAAACCAGGACACCACTTCACTACAACACCACTACGCCCTGCACCTCGATGCCGCTGCCCCGTTATGCCCCTACACCACTACACTGCACCATTTCACTGCTACTACACCATTACACCACGGCACTACACCACTGAGCCACTGCAACACTACACCGCTACACCACTACACCTCTACCACCACCACCACCACTACCACACACTTTCACTGCCACGGCCACGACCACCTACTCCCGTCACCACCATCCCTACCCTGCCGCTACCCTACCCCAACCACTGCCACCGCCCCCACTGCCACCACTGCCAGCACTGCCACCACTGCCACCACTGCCACTGCTACTGTTCCTGCTGCTGCTGCTGCTGCTGCCATTGCTACCGCGAGCTGCTGAGAGCAAACGCTGCAACCGTAGTTTGTGCTGCCGAGAACTGAGGCAGCGGTTCCTACTGCAGGCTGTGCAGCTCGACGTGCGAATCCAAGAATGCTTCAGGCTAACACCGACGGTGGTCAACTTGATGTTTCTGTTGCCGTCGCCTCTCCGAACGGCTCTCGAGGCTCTGGTTCTATCCCTGGCTGATGAGGAACTTCAGAAGGAGTTCGCGGTCTGTGTGGTAGTTTAGCGACCGTTTGGAGCCTGCTTATATTGTACGCAGGATCCGCAGATCGTGTGCGAAGCTGTGGAACGGGAGCCAGCATCTGAGCCACTAAGTGGGTTCCTTCTCACTCAGAATGAGGTGTAGTGTAGCCTGTTGTCGAAACGTCATCGGCAGGTGGGAAATGCTTCAGCATGTCTCCGAGGACTTTTTCTGTTGCACTGCTTTTTTGTTTCGGGCACACCTTGATGGTGTTCGATGGTTCCCTTCGCAGGAGCTTCGGGGCAATCGCACCTTCATGATGGAAGCTGTGGGTGCGGTGCCAAGCATGTGTGTTGAAGTTCGCAGATGATGAAAGGGACAACTGCTGGAAGGCATCGGCATTTTGAGAAAACATCTCCATTATGAAAGCTACCGTGGCTGTGTATGGCTGATAACAACCAGTCGGTGCACAAGGTCAGTCCGCAGGTGTGGACATGTCACGAAAGCTAGCCCCCCTGGAGCTAGCGGAGTATCTTACCTAAGCGAAGCTTACAACCAGATAGGTATACAGGGCCCACGGAGGCTCCGCCACGAAAAGCAGCAAACCCCATCGGTTTTCGGGACCGAATCGTTTTTTTTAGGAAACGAGTTGGCGTTCATTTCTTTTGTGTTGTGGTGCAAATGAACACCGCTTTCTGGGTCCTCCAGGGGGGTTCTAGGATTCTAGGCGGGTCCCAGGGTGGTTTCAGGGCAGGTGTGCCGGAAGTGCTAGAGGTCTGTGCCTCTGCAGCTTGTCAGCTCTGGTCATGGCCGTGGAGGAGGTGATGAAGAAGTGGAAGTGGCAGGCAAGCCTCAGACGACTGAGTGTCACTACTCACTCTACTCACTCTTCCATGTTGACGTTGGTTTTTATGTCATTGCTTTCCCGTGGATGCAAGAAAGCACCACCTCCGTGTGGCTCGATTACAGCTCCATTCCGCAGAGGCAGGCGCGTCTCAGCAAAGAGCCCTTGGAAGCGACAGGCATTGTGCGTCACAGACAGCTGCGATCAACTCTTTGACGGTCTACGCCTCTAGCTGCTTGTGCTGCTTCAGGCTGCGCAAGCACCATGACGGCACCGCTGCTTTGCGGCGCATGGCGTCCACTGCCAGCATCGCCAGATATCGCGGTCTAGTCTGGGACTTTGCAAAACACCACAAAGCTCGACCTGCCCTCCGGCACGATTGATCTCCAACAGCATGACTCGCATGGAGATGATGCTGCCGACGCGTTCCTGGACTTCCTCGAGGCGCTGGTTGTTCGTTTTCGACGTGGGTTCGTGCCGGCGTCCGAAGCGACGCGGCTCGGAGCCCGAACTCTTTTGCGCAGTGCCACATTTCTCAAGTGCAAGCTCTGCCAGTCGACTCCTGTGCTGGATCGCACTCTGCTCCATTGAGAGAGGGCAGCTGACAAGGTTCAACTTGCAACATGCTGGTCCTGGCCAGCGGCTCCTTTCCCGAACAGCCCTGCACTTCGGGTGCCCGGGAAAGACTTCCTCCTGAACGTTCTTGTTGCGTGCTTCATGACATGCAGTGGACCTGTTGCAGCAGCTTCACCGTGGTTCACAGGCGACGGCTGCTTGGACCAGCGTTTAGTAGCTGTTCGGGAGTTCTTGAGCGCTTGCATGCTGAGCCAAGACTTCGAAGAGCAGCTCTCGTGCCTTATGTGTGCTACAGCTCATTGCGAATTTCCATATAGACGAGCGCTACTGAACTTGGCGCCTCCAACTATGCCTCACTTGCCGCCAAGCTTTCAAGAACTAGCTGAAGCAGCGAGGCCGAAATAATCAGCGGAGTTCCAAACGGACTCCCTGTCAACGTGTTCTTTTGCGTTCTGCTTTCTCTTTGAAAGAACGCCCCTTTTTCATCACATGCGGAGTTCCATACGGACGCTTCCTGAGCATGCTCTGTTCGATTCGAATTGATCTCTAAAAGAACGCCGTTCTTTCGTCCAAGACCGCCCTGCACGCGCAAGGTAGAAAAAACACGGCAGCTTGCATGTGCCTGCTCGGCTGCTTGCCTTGGGTGCTGGAAAGTACCCCTCCGTCAGGGTACCTTGACTGGCTTTCGTCTCAGGCCCTCACCCCCAAGTGCACCGACTAAGATCGCCATATTCTCAAAACAAAGCCGGCTAGTCACGAGGCGGGGCATTTAGTCTATTTACTGCACGAGCATGCTGCATGGAAGCAGAGGCAATTCCGCCCGTCTGAAGGCCAGACGCAGCAACGAAGCAGGGGTAAATCCATAGGTGCCAGCATGGCTTTTGAGAGCGAGGGAGCTTTTGTGACGAGAAGTGTCCTGCTGAAGCTGCAGGATTTTTGCAAGTCGCCACGACAAGCTGCTGTTGCAGTGCTTCTTGGGATTGTTGTGTTGACAGGCGGCATGATGCGGCTGGCTGTCCCCCGGCTGTCGCATCTCCCCAAACATCCCAGAGTGCAAGGTTTGGCAACAAGTGTTCACAGTGTCCGGCGTGGCATTTTTCAAAGGTCTTGGAGCTTAGACAAGATCCTTTGCAATCGTCCTCCTCCATTTTCTCAGGCTTTGCCTGCACCACCGGGTTGTTCCCGTCTTATCCCTCTGCAAATGCAGCTTGGACGTTACGTCGCCTACCATCCCGATCATCTTAGCGCTGCATCGCCGAAATTGCTGAGATTGTGTGAAACGGAAGAATGAGCTCGCCCGGCTCATCCATGGAACCACCGAATCGGAGAAACAGCCACTTGTTCTGCGCTACAAATCTGAGGAGTGCAGAGTGCAAGGTGTACAGGGTGGTCCAGCATGAACGCGCCCCTACTCGACGGCTTCCAACGCACATCGCGGAGAAGATGGCTTGATTATCTGCGTGTTAAGCCTCGGATTTATGTGTATTGTAAGCCAATGCATGGACTTCAACAAAATGGACGGCATCTTCGGGTTCACTGGGGCACCGGTTTTCGCCGTGCCCGAGCACTGCGGAATGCCCGTTCCTTTCGTACAGATGAAGTTCCGATGTGCTATGGCTATAGGCCTTCATTTAAAGATGTGGACTGTTTGATTTCCTCGACGCTCCAACGTTTTCGTTTTTTGGGATCCTGATCACGCTGGCGTGAGTGGTTTCTGCCTTGGGTTATCAGGAGCTACTGGGAGCAGGTTGCTTGGTTTTCGGTTACCTGTAGCTGGCATTACGGTTTGTTGTCCATGTGCCCAGACATGAGCTCTGACTGACTACATCGGCCCCAATTCGAGTGAGTGGCTACCAAATTATTCTGCTCGGGGGCACAGTACGATACTGCATGCGGGGAGCTCTGGCAGTTCTGGCAGTTGTGCACGCGACGACAAGGCATCGAAGGCATGTCGCTGAAGTATGCCTCAGCAGAATTGAGCATGGTGCTCAGGCTTGGTGGTGTAATATTCACTTCTTGGCGTGGTTCCCATGTCTCGAGGCCACGATCGTGAACTCGTCCTGGCAGCAATTGCTAATTCTGGGCAAGCGCTGGAGTTTGCGGCGGCGATCTGAGAATACTACCATCGCTCGTTGAAATACTTGCAAGCGGTCCGCATGCTGCAGCGAACTCTGTCACCGCGAGCAGGCTGGATTTCTGCAACCTGATCCGAGGCTCAGGAGCTCCGCTCCGATCCCGAGATGGTTCTCATGGCCATTCGCCAGGCACCTTTCCATGATTTTGGCTTCTTCTGTCTCCCTGCTCGAGTTCGCAGCCGTCGGCTTGGATGTTTTGCAGGACTTTGAGGCCGTTTGCCACGCTGATGAAGCTTTGGCTGGCGACTTCTCGCTGAGAGCTTGGACTTCAAGCGGTCATGTGTCATGTCATGGTATGTCCACAGTCACGTACGTCGTAAGACAGTCCGTTGAGCATTCGGCGAGTTGTGAAGTGCCCCTCGCTGCCCGAGCCGAAGTTTTCTCGAGGTTTATGTTTAGAGCAGTTCGAGTTGATGGACGTGCCTTGAAAGGTGTCTGCGCCTCGGAGGCGCTGAGATATGCTGAGCGATTGCACGTGCCACGGGTGCCACGGCTTCAGGCAACAATCGAGCTGCAAGCTGATCCAGACTTGGTCTTGGCAGCCGTGCCTGGATCACATTGAACGCGTGATGTTGCGTCGCCGGAAAGATCACTTCCTTTCGGCTGTTGGTGCCACCAGGGTGTGCCCACTAGGTGCAGCAAAACTGGCGATCGCTAGGCTACGCCAACAGGGCTCTGCCGGCAGCCGAGAAACGTTCCGAGAAGAGTTTCTAGGGGTGGCGTCCGTGCCCTCGAGGCGTGCAAACCTGGACTTCATGCTGCAAGCAGTAGGTCCGCCGTCCGCCTTTTCATTTTTGGAACCAACTCGTAGCAGTCACAATGCATCCTGCGGGTATCTGCGGGTTTGGGACCCTCGAGGCGTGGATGGCTTTGCCCTGGCCATGGCGGCTGAGGCCTGTCGCGTTGCTGCACGTCGCAGCAAAATAGAGCCGCATGCATCGACGATCTTTCCAAGTCTGCTTTTGCGGTCAGGAGCTATGGATGCATCCACAGCTTCTTGCAGCTGCAGCGCAGGATTCTCGACAGTATTGCAGTGCCTTCCAGATGGTCTTAGACCACGTCGTCCCAAACAGAGGGCTTTATTAAACATCATGTTGCCCGATTCTACACGAAGCGAGGCCATGATAAGAACTGTCCGGTGCTTGCCAAGTTGTAGGCTTTCGTCACCTTCTTGACTAAGGATCGTGACTGCCCGCAGGATTCTGCAAGTGTGGAGCTTGAACACGTTTGGGGTACAGAGCAGGAAACGTTGGTTGCTCAACACCAGTTTCATGCAAAAAGTACCTTCAGGCCATGAGGAGCATGAACCTGAAGTTGTCGGATTCCTCAGACGGCTGCTGAAGGACGTGCTCCTTCCTTCAGCCGAGCGGCATGAGACCAAGGGAACCGATCTGCGGCAACTACTGCGGCAAGCTCGGCCCAATTGGCCGGGGCCCTACGCAGTAGCGGTTGGATTCCAGTGCCACTGCCGTCTGATACTGACATGCTGACAGGTCGGAAGCAGACTTGCAGTCAGCGGAGCCCAGCTGCCGTTCTTGTGCCGTTCAGATTTGTTTCTGTAGCTGGCTGGCTGTGTGCCAGGCAGAAGCTGTCTGTCATCGGTGTCACGACAGTACCGCTTCTTGCACAGGCCAAGCTATATCTAGGATGAGTGTGGGGAAGTCGTGTCCCGCGAACATCCGTGAACTGCTGCCCCTGAGGCTTCTGCAAGCGATCTGAACGGTCGTTTGCGTGCAGCCGGCCAGAAGATTTTCACGGCCACGACGGTGATGGAGTGCTGCTCCCAGACTCTATACTCGTCTGCTTGCTCTTCAAGCTTCATAGCAAACCCTCCCACCTGCACCCCTCCCACCTCTCACCTCCCACCTCCGCCACCTTCCTCCCACCCTCCCACCCCTCCCACCTCCCACCTCTCAGACCTTTCGTGTACCATGCTGACAGCACTTCTGAGCATGGTTCTGTGCACCCGTCGCGTGTCTTGTTGACTATGGAAGGCTGAAGGCACGGTCGGCAGCATCCATGGCTGCTGCGGCTGCTGCAGATGCTGAAGCTGTGGCAGCCGTCACGCTCGCGCACTGAGCACAGTGCATCCATGACAGTCATGTATGAGTCATGCCCTGTGTGTTCTGTGTGCAAGGCAGCGCCCGAAAAAGTCGAAGACCGGTCTGAGGACTGCTCCCGTATGCTTTGTGGTAAGCGCGTGAGATCCATATGGCCATTGGCTGCAGGCCGAACGCCCGGTTGACGTTCTGAGCCAGCCTTCTCACCAAGACGCCTAGCGCCACTCCAAGGGCCCAGGCCCAGTGCTTAGTCGCTGGGATCGAGATCCAAGCGATTGGAGATCTTCCTTGCTCCCTCCGGGGGCTCTCGCGGAGAAGTTTTGCTGCCCCAAGTTCTGCTCAAGTGAATCTCAAGAGAAAGGTCATGTTTCTCTGACCATACTGCAGAGTTTGGTGTGCATCTAAGTTTTATGCATTAGAGTATTTCCACTCCGAAGGAGAAGTGAAATCGGAGGATGTCAGGATCGTCCTTACAAGCAGGACGTCTGCAAACATGGGTGAATGTTGGGTTGCAGGCAGTGTGCTCTAGGACTTGTGAATGTGCAGATGTTTCGGGATTCGATTTCGACTATGGCCAACCAGCTGAGCCAAACAGCAGAGTCAGTGGGGAGGAGACGGTTGGTATCATAAGACAACATCCTTCAGCAAGGTTACAACTACCAGGTAACTACCATCTTGCCAACCAGCACAGTAGGTCGTCTGCAATATGCTTCGACACTGTTTGCAGTTGTTTTTATTTGGGATTTGATTACGGCTGTTGAAGGGACAGGCCTGAATTGATCGCATGAGTTGATCGTTTCCATGTGGCGTGGCCATGCGACCGTCCACAGCCGAACGACGTGGCGGGGTGTGACAGCGCTCACTTTTTGATTGCTGCGCATTTCGATAACTTCGTTCCCCCGACTTGCTCTAACACGCCGCAGGCGGTCGGCATGGCCACGAAGATGATTCTCGTCAGGCGGACACGCGCGAGTCCTGGGCCAGGGCTCTGCGAACAGGTGTGTGAGTGCATGTCAAATATGAGCTACTTTTGTGCTTGTGTTGCAGTGTTCACATGGACGAATGATTTAGGAATTCTCCACCTGATTCACCTCGGGACCACGGATGGAGCAAGTGGAGGCTTTCATGGCATTGTACGGAGAGTATCCGAGTATCCCTTCGACAGTCGGTAGGAAATGATTTGCAGGACGAACAAGTTAGCCTCCCGGCTTGTCATGGCTCTGCGTGAAGCCCAGCATCGGCACAGCATTTCTCGTAGGTTTTTGCGGTTGTATCTGTGTGGTTTCTCAAGCTGGCGACAGCAATTGGTCAATGCTTGCAATGTCGCTGCTGAGGACGGCGACATTTTTGTCCAGCACTTACGTCTTAGCTAAAGACCCATAATGTGAGAGATTGCAGTTCTCGGATTCCAGGATCGGACTTTTGATCAGGGGCCCAGATTTTGGAGGCGCCTGCACAGGGCGTCAGTCGCCCTGGGACTCTGCCGTTAATCACACGTGTCTTTCAGCCGGACGACCGGCAAAGAAGCTGGATGAACCGCTGAAGCATCCTTTGTGCACGGCGCAGGCCCACCCTCGGCGACAAAGCATCGCTTGAAGGCGCCCTGAAGATAGTTGATCGCTGTAAGGACCACACTGTCTCTGAGATGTTGCTGGCAAATAACCTCTCTTTTTCCTTGCTGGAGCTGGAATTACTTTCCAACGTGTTGCCGAAACGATGCTGCGCTGCATTCTTAGCCTTCCCCGCAGCGATCCCAGAAGCTCTGCTATGGCAGGGCACAGTAGTGCGGCTCTTTGAGAAGAGCTCGCAGGACCAACACATGACGGGATAGTCTACAGCTGCTTCCTTCCATCTATCGTTTCCTGGAAGGAACGTACAGATCCTCCTCGTGCTGATGACGAGGCATTGCCAGAATGTGGTGCTTAAAGGCGAAGCTTCTGATTGTTGAGGTGTGAAGTGCCGCTTGTCAGGACGACGTGCGTATTGCAAGTGAGCCCAAGGAGAATGGGCTCGAATGCTACCTCACAGGTCACAGGTGCCTGTAGAGAAATTGCGCTTCTTTCGCCTAGTCTTTCGCCTCGCGTCCCTCAAACACGCCCCATGCCGCTTCTCGGATTTGGATGGCTGTGCCTGCAGGAAGCAGAGCAAGCTGTCCGTCCCACAGAGACAGACGAGGCGCTGGTCCAGCTGCAAGAACCCGAAGTTTCAGAAGCAGAACAGGACACCGTGCAAGTGGATAAAGATGACAAGGAGAGCTCTCAGGAGATTTGGGAGTTATCGACTCTGTGAAGCCTGCAAGTTTCATGTCGTTACTCGCACGATGTAGCTCATGAGGAGCATTTGCGCTCCTTTAAAAGTGCTCCCGAGGCAGACGAGGCACGACAAGAAATCGTCGTGTCAGATCCTGTTTGGTCAAATGTCTGCCGCGAATGCAGGATCTTGTCCAGGTCGCGAATGACGTGCCGGAGAGAATGCAGGACAAGATGCTTGCACTGTGAACTTTCTGCGTTTTGCAGTATTGGTCATCCAGAAGCTTGCTTGCTGTGCAGGAGCAATCTACTAGCTCCAGCAACAAAGAGCCGGATGAGGTTCCTGAAATTTGCTGGAATAGCGATCGCCAAGAAAATAAAGGGTTCACCAGATTGTCGTGAGGAACGTCGCAGTGAGAGATCGTGTGGCACGCTTTGTTGAGACAGGACATTATACAGGTGGCAAAGGATGCCCCGGAGAGCCACCAGGATTGCCACAATTTACGCTGGCACGTCGTGTCGTCTCACTTTCGGTGAAGCCTCCATGTTTCAGGAGCTCTCCTCGCGGTCCAACAATGCACAGCCAGATGAGGTGCTGCCGATGCCAAACTTGATGGCACCCAGTTGTCCCTCCCTCGGCAGGACACCGTGCAGGTGCCGAATGACGCGGAGAGCTCCCAGGATCTACGGCTTTTCAGCATAGCATTTATTGTCGAGAACAGCCGATGGGAGCAAAACATCGCCATCTCGGCTGAAGGAACCCTCCGCACGAGGCAACGCCAATGCCGAGCTCGAGAAGGCCAGGCCAGCTCCCAACTTGACACTGTCAACCAAGCGGGTCAGCTCGGTTTCGAGCCTGCAGGACACCGTGCAGGTGCCAACAGACCCTCCAGATAGCTCGCAGGAACATGTTGAGCTCCATAGTCGGCAGAAGTCAACCTAGTGACGGTTGCAATGCTTTTTGGAATGCTTCCTTACAGGAGATATCCACAAGCCCCACTGAGAGCCCCACTGACAAGGCCGTGCAGTGCGCTGCTGTGTCTGGAGCAACTGTTGCATCCATCCCTGTGCACAGTCGACAACGACAGAACTTGAAGTAATGTTGGAACATACAGCAGGCTGAAACAACAATACAGAAACAGAAGCCACTTCAGGGGAAATTTGTGGATTTTGGCAATATTGCTACTCGTAAAGCAGGTGAGGCTTATGTTTTGCAGGCGTATCGCCGTCGGATCTGGTAGAAAGGGTGTGGAATATGGCCCAAGCTGGGCAATTCAAGGCTAATCCCAACCAACCACTTGAATCCGCGGTCGCAGCAATGACTCGCGATTCCATCCCTAGCCACGCATGCAGAATCCTACGCGGGGACCAACTCTCACATGACCTTCTTCGGCAGAGTCCTGCAGGCGAATGCGGGTGAGGTGGCAAGCGAATCTCTGCAGGCCTGGGTCGGATTATATCATAGGATATCACTTATATCGTCTCGTGGCCGGCGGCCTCTGGAATTTGTCTGTGGCTGTGCAGGGGTCAGCCGAAGGTCTGAAAGGCGGAAGCGAGGCCGGGCATGCTGAGGGATGGGGCTCTGCTTTGCGTTGTCGAGTCGAGTCGTGTTTGAAGCAGGTGCCAGTGAAACCTGAAGCACCAAACGAGGAGCTTGACATTCCCTCGATCCTCGAAGAGCAGAATTTCGCTGTCTGCAGGAATCGCAGCTCGCTCCCTCGAAGTGTGGCCCTTGGACCACGAGGCTTAAGCGAGTGGCTCCACGAAGCCAAGGCCTTCGGATGTCCCGGTTGTGGAAGGCTTCAACGCCGTGGAAGTCTGGGGCCCAGCAAAGGCTTCGACCTCTTCTGGCCAATTTAGGGCTCTCAGCTCTCGTCGCAGGAGCTGCCCACGCGCCGACCTGTGAGTGCAACCCTGGCGCCCATTCCCACTGAGTGGCTCGGCAAGACACCACGACGTTTCTTCAGAATCGCTTGCGCCGCCGAGGCCAGTACGGGAGCCAGAGGCAACATCTGCAGTGTGAGTCCCGACCACCTGTGAGCATTTGCAAGCTTGGAGTCGTGTCTCAAACTCACGAGACCTGTTTCACGGCTCCACGTTCTTCTCTCAAGCACGGTCCATAAGACGACTAGCGAGCAGATGTCAGGGGGGGCGCTTGCAGCAAGAACCTGCTGCTGAGTTGCAGCCTCAGTATGTTTTGCACATGCTTTGCAACAGGCATCTTCCTAATGTTGAAAGTGCAACACATGAGGACTGCTGCCACCAGTGCAGCTTCCCAACGGGCTGGGCACGTCGCTGGCCCGGGAAATTGAGCTTTGCGAACTCATCAGCGGGTGACTCTTCGGCTCCTGATCAGGTGGCCGCTGAATCGGTGCTGAAGCCACTCGCCCTCATTTTGAGCATGTTGGGGCCGTGGAACCTTGATTTCGTGCATTAGGCGTATGGAGAAGGCCCGGGACGAACCCTCGCCGGAAGACACTGCGGAGGCGGCCACTGCCATACCAATGTACCAAATGTTTTCGACGACGGGGCAGAGTCTGAAGAAATCCTTCGCTGTAGTGTGACATGGTGCTGGTCCCTGCCACTCCCGAGGCTCCTATAGTTTTTCTTCGTCATGCAAGCTTCGTTGTTCTTCTGGTGGGAAAGGAAGTGCCAGGCATTGGCCGTATCGACATCGAAAAAACGGGATTGCACGATTCACGTGCAGTTGGTTTTTGATTATTTCAGCAGTGCAGTCGGCCATAATTATTAATTATAGGCGGTGTTGCCAGGGTGTGTGGTTAGTTTGCCAGTGTCTGTCCGGATCTGCAGCTCTTTGAAGCCGCCCTGCGGTGCACCTCGCCGAGTTTCGGAGGCCGCTGTATCGAAGACAGAGTCTGAACAGACGCGCCTTGCTCGGAGTCGCCTTGGAGCAGGGCCTTACACCACCACCTTCGATGCCTGGATCCCTTTCTGAGGTCCGTCAGGATACCAGTAGCAGTGGCTGCATCGGAGAGTCCGTCCAAAGAGACGGGGGAGGTGGGACAGAGCAAGGTGTGACGGAGTGACCTGCGCCAGCTGTTCGGGCCGTTCCTGTTGCAGGTGCGGGCGGAAACGGCGGAAGGCTCCCGAGTGCCAAAGCCTGATCCCGAGCAGTGGTAGGACGCAAGAAAGGAACTGCAGCCTCCAGCGTGCCTCTTCCAGGCCCGAGGATGCGTCCGTGGAGGCACCTTTGCCGCCAAAGGCCACGAGTGTAGCAACAGTACTTCTTCTACCATGCTGCTTCTGTGCCATAGCAGGTTGCGGCAGCATCGCCTGAAGCTTTGTCGATCCCTCAGTAGTCTGTAGTGACTCAATAGCCGAAGATGCAGGGGTTGTATGCGATTGCGCCTATCATGCAGGCCCCCGGCGGTGTCCGACACTACAACCCCTTCGGTGCTTGTAGTTGAAGCGCCGTGGCCTGGGTCTAGACGAGTCGAGCAGGTTAGGGTTTTCCTGACATTTTCTGACTAGTCAGGTCGCTCGAGTCGCCTGCAGCCTCCAAGGAGACTGGGCAGGCCGGGGTGGTCGAGGTGTCCTGGTCTGTCCTTGTCCGGTTCGCAGTTCGCACCGAGGTCCACCTCGAAAGCGCAACGAGGCCGCCGATCCTTTCCGTTACAGGATTCATTGAATTCCTTTCGACCGAGGGCACCTGCAGAGATCCATCAGCCAGAAGCAGAGCCCGTCTTAATCGGTCAGGTGGAAAGGGGATTACCAGCTCTTGCGCTTTTGAGTCTATCTCCGCATCTTGGCAGGCTGTTGAGACTAGGGCAGAGATCAAGGCAGAATCGCTCCGCCCTTGTATCATGCTGATGCAGGCATAAGCCACTTCTCCTTTCTGCTGCCTCTTCTTGTGCATATCATAGGAGATTATGCCACTCCCCCCACCTGCTCGACCATTGGAATTTGAGCTGACTTGACTTCTTGCCAGTATGACTGTGGCTTTGTGTGCCGAGAAACACCACTGTGCTTTGTCTCTTGTGCTCAGTCCTACCATCTAATGGTGAGTGCTGCTAACATCGATACACCCGGAGCGGGGTATCGTGAGGTTTTGCACTTGTCCCATCTGGGCACTGGGAAGCTCCGCCCAAGGCCTGCCGGGAGTCCAGTCACGGTGCAGACGCAGGCGCGCAGTGTCCTTGTGTGTTTGCGTGCCTGGCACAGGCATGTCCACAAGCACCCGTTAAGATTCTCCGTAGAGTGTGCACGCGATTGCTCGCTTTGGTGCAGGCGATACCGGGTCCCGTGGTGCAGCAGCCTCAGGGATGCGGAGAGACTAAGATCAAAAAGAACATGCGATCTCTTCTCCTTCCCCAGAATCGACTCGTCCACGGTCCCACCGGTGCTCGTGGAGGTTGGGATCATATATCGGGTCATGCTGGAAGATGTGATGACTCAGTACTGATTTTGGTCTCCAGGGATCTGCGACCATAGCTGCTCGTATATCGAGTGGAGCAAGCAGCATCGAGTCTGCCAAGTCTGATTCTCGGTTCAATCAGAGAAAGTCGATGCAGTCGATGCGCGATGAAAGGCCTGAGACCGGCGAGGTCACAGTGGCAGAGAATTTTCCAGAGGCATGTCGCATCCCAGCACCTCGTCTGGCAGTGACTATCTCATGCAAGGCCTCTGCAGATGTTCGCGTCGAGTCAGAAGATGTACAGCCAGATGCTCGGGAACTGCCCAGCATGCAGACTTGTGACTCGCATTGGCAATGGCAACTACGACATGCTATAAATTGCAGTAAATTCCAGGCTGACGGATGACGCCGCTCTCCCAGCATGCATGCGGGAAGTACAGATCAGATCAACAGAAACAGTAGCTCCTGGTCAGCGTGGCAAACTGAGATGCAGGCTGCCCAATCTGCGACTTCGGCGCCAGCCCGGCGCTTATAAGTTGCGGAACTGGGCGGGGGGGTGGGGGGGTATCCGTCTTCAGAAATGTCCAGACCAGGATGGGACGATTTTGCAGCAGGCAGAAGGTGCCATAACGCGAGCAGAAGCAGGCCTCGGAGACAGGTGGAAGGCGGATCGCTGAGATTTGACAAGCTTCCCAGGACTCAAAGAAGCCGAGAAGGAGAGGTTCGTTTGGACTTGTTCCCGTGTTTCCCCTTTCTGTTTCGCTTGGCTTTTACCGTGGACCAGGAGCTGGCAAAGACAGGGGGCCAGGTGCTCGAGCAGGTGCAACAAGCTTCTGCCTGCTGAGTGTGACGAGCTCTGCGGCAGCTTCAGACAGGTGCAAAAAGCAGCTGCTGCCGGGCAGGAGGTGCTTCACGAAGTAGAGGCCCGACGATCTACACTACCAGAGTCGGCAGAACACGTCCCGCCGGAAGGAAGAAACCTCTGCAGTCGTTCAAGCAGTCGAGAAGGCAGTCGGCACTGGTGTCACCGGTCAGATGCCGGCACAGGAGGCAGGCACCGTCTTCGTTTTTGTGCTCCTACCGTCGGACTTGGCATGGGCTTGCCCTTCAGGACGAAGTGACGATAGCTTCACCAAAGTGAGTGGAGCAGGTTCGATTGATGAAAAAAGACGCTTCGGACTCGTGTTTTCCTTCCTTACCCTCTAAACACTGTTGAAGTCTGAAGCAGGCTGACGTCAATCCCTGACACATTGTGAGCATGCTGTGGTATGCAAAGAGTCACTCAATCTCCTAGGATGACTGTGTTTGGCATGCTTTCTGGCTTCTGCGGCAAGCCGCAGAGGGGGGAGGGCATAGTGTAGCCCACGTGCAGCATGGCTTCCCGTGGCCGTCAGAACCAGCGACGGCCCCGCCAGCGTCTTGAAGCATCGCCATAGGATGCGGTCCGTGGTCCTGAACCTCATCGTCCAAGTCATTGCCTATCCTGGAAGCCAAGTCTGCGTCGACTTTGATGCATGGGACAAGCGCACTACGGAAAACATTCTCATGAGCATCCAGACATCGGAGGCAGCTGATGCGGGCTGGGCCACCCGGGAGGCCGAGCGTGCGGCAGAGGCGGCGATCTTGGAGGAGCTGGAGCTCAGCCGTACCGATGCGGCCCAACTCTGGAGGCGGGCGGGTGGACGGGGGAGATTCTATTCTAGTGGCTGCTGTGACGTCATGCATCGTCACGCCCCGGCTGCAGGCTGCGTCAGCGTTTGGGCGACGGCAGCTACAACCCTGCATGGCTGGCGGCCAGACGATGGAGACTAACTGCCGGAAGGTTTTATGCAGTCCGCAGGGTGGGAAAGCACAAAGAGCTTGCCAAAGCCTGGTTGGACCATTGGTGGTATCGAGGCCAGGAGAGGCTGAACCACAAGATTAACAGGTCACACGACTTCGAGGATCGGGTGCTTCGCAAGTACCGCCAAAAGCATGGAAACGGTGTTCAGGAAGTGGGCCTCTTTGTCCATCCAGAGCTTCCCTGGCTTGGTGCTTCGCCGGATGGACTCCATTGCTCTGAGGCGTGGGGAGACGAGCCCTTGGTGGCCCCGAAGCCCCTTCACCTCATCGAGATCAAGAGTGCCAGAACCCTCCTCGGTGCGAGGTCTCCAGCCTGGCACCAGGCCAGCAGCTGAAGAACAGGCTGAGCATCTCGCTTATGCTCCATGCCAAACCGTGTGTGCTCGCAGGTGCAGGGTGCCATGGCTGTTGCCTCCGCCGCGCTGGGAACGCCCATCAGGAGCTGCAAGCTCATCGATCCCGTCGAGACGTACAACGTGCCTTTTGGAATTTCTGTTGGGAAGGCTTCTTGCATCTGTTGCCAATTTTAAGAGGTGGTTGCTTTCCGTCCTTTTGCAGGTGCGCTTTGATGAGGGATGGTGGTCGAAGTACTTGCTGCGCTTGAAGAGATTCTACTTTGGTACCTTCCTCCCCATGGCAGCGAGGCGCATTCTGCAGAAGTGGAAGTGGGCGGCTGCAACGCACTGAAGGAGATAAGCCGTGGCCTGCAAATCGACCTGAAACACCATGAAGCTGGCGTGATTGAAGAGAGTCCTCCCGCAGCTTCGCTTGGGATCATGAGTTCGACAGCAACAAGACCCATGCCATATTCACCCGTGTTTGCCTTGGCGCCTGCAGAGCTCGCAATTCGCCAATTGTTCCCAATGACGCCCTTGAAGTTCGTCGAAGTCCATTTGGCTGCCACGTTCCCATGTTTGGGGCATCATCCGATGGCAGCATGCTACCCCCAAGCGGACGGGACAGGCGGCCTTTTGACATCGCAAGAGTCTTGCTGCAGAGGGAATTCCATCTCGATCACACGCATGGCAGACGGACCGAAGCCACACGGACCGAGGCCAAGCAGAAAAGAGTCAGTTTGGAAAAAGTGGGCTGGTGCAAAAAGCTCCTTTCTAAAGCGAGTTGAGACGCAGCAGATTAAGTTACATTCCTATGACACCATCCAACGTGTGTTACAATCTGTTTGTAGTGAGCTTTCGATTGTGGGCTTTGCCCTGCCCCTGCGTGCGCTCCCCAAGTTGGCGCTTTCGTTGCTGCGTCGACGCGTTGGGCAGGGAAAGCGTTTTCACTTGCGAACACCCCTGCGAAACACACAGGCTGAGATCCGTGTCGCAAGCCAGTAAAGCCAAGTGGGTCGGGCAGGATTGTGGGGGCGCTGCTGTGCAATTGGCCCCGAGCCGAACCTTTTCCTCTAGGCCGACGGGCTAGCAGCGCTCATGCTCCTTGCGCAGCATCGCAGACCGGCGGAAGCGCCTGGCTGGTGAGTGAGTTTTGCATGTGATGGAGCCGAACTCATTTTTGGTATTGCCCTTGGACTTCTCGTTTTGTGTTTTGTAGTGAACGCCCAATCGCGGAACGCGCTTTTAGTGGGTGTGATTGTCTGGTTCGGTGCTGCAGCTTAGATGTGTGGCGGTATCGCGTTTAGTTTTATTGTAGCCAGCGGGCCTCCACGTGTGCAAAGCGCTGCAAGGGGTGCGGAGGGCAAAGTCGGCCTAGGAGGGCAGCTGGCAGAACAGGGCTGCAGTTGATGCCACGGAGGTCGCTTCCCTTGACCAAATGGTTTTGGAATGCTCCTGCATTGTGCAGCTGGTGAGGGGCCAAGCAAGGACTTCACACCGACTTTGCACTCCTCAGGCTGTTTGAAACGCATTTTCGTACGTATTCCTGCCCGCCGGACACTGCGGTGTTCCACCTTTCTTGCTGGCAGGTGATTCGTCGAGCATTGGGTTTGCCTTTCTTCGCTCCCGCGACAGCCCTGTCCCAATTGCTTTCGTTCGCATCACATGGTGTGACTGTGTGACCAATGGAGCTCGGCAGCTGTTCCGTCGAGCCTTGCACCAACCGCTTTACTGCTCCCAACATCGATTGCATGCATAGGCACCCGCCTCCAAGTTCCGTCATCCCGAGCCCCTCCGTGCCCACAGGCGGGTTCAGAGTCAAAAAGAGGTCGACGAGGGATGCGGCGGTGGCGTGCAGGGCAGCCAGAAAAACGTACCTCAAGTGGGGCGGCAGCGAAACTGTTCCTGCCCACCAAATTTCAGACGCCAAAAAGGTGTGGGAACAAAAAAGAGCGCGTTGACCTTGCCCATGGGGGGCAGACACAGGCATCATGGTGAACTTGATGCCCGAGGCCTTGCCATGCTGGACTTGCAGTCGAGGGAGTGTCTTCACTATACCGGTCCCGCCTGAGCCGTCCCTGGACTCGCCGCTCTTCCGCGTGCAGCTCTGGTCCTGGCTTTGCCTGCCGCTGCCCCTACTCTGCGAGCTGCCGCTGCGGGCAACTCGGGGACCGCATTGAGGCCGCAATAGATCGCAAAGCTTCAAAGCTTGTTGTCCTGGCCAACTTTTGTCAGACTCCTTACGCGCCTCCAGAGCATTCTGCCTTTGCCTCTCGACGGTTTGTTTTGTCTCCCTGACTTTTTTGATGCCAACCTGGCCGCCCTATATACGCGAAGGTAGTGCAGCGCGCTGGGGCCCATCTGGGACATCTGGGACGTCGGTAAAAAGGTGTGTCTCGGTATTTGAGAGCCGGATCCCAATCTGCAATGGCTTCTCGATCTTTGCAACCACTGTTGGCAAAACAAA